ATCGAATTAAAAATTTAAGTGGTATAAAGATTTTGAAGCGTTGGCAACAAAAAAATGTTATTTTTTAATCTGAACACCCTTAAATTTGACAAGGTTTTGAGAAGAAGAATCTCGACTCTCTTAGTGAGAATGAAAGTGATGCACAAGTTGTTGCAAACAGTGGTGCATGGAAACAATGCACAGATGTGGTTATTTTCCAATTGTGTTAGCATGGGAGTGACTTATATCCTAAATGGATTTGGATAACAATTATACTCATTATGAAATGTAAGTACCCCTAAGAATCCAACAACAAGAACCCGCAAATAAAGACATTGTGTGATTTGGCTTTGATCGCGCCCATACACTTTATATTCTATTATTTAGACTACAAATAAAGAATGTAGCTGAGAACATAAAGAAATTGTTGTCGGTTGCTTCCTCCTTGATTTCTCAAGCAACAATGGCGGATTTCCAAAATATGTAAGGTGATTTCAATAAGTCCAAGAGCTAACCATCCTCACTTGAAATTTCCACTGCAAAAAGAAGTCTCTGAATGCGTATGTAATACTTTTCATAGATGAATAAACAAGCTATTATTTGAAAAATTACTTTCGAACTTGGAGGAGTTTCAAAAAAACTATGTAAAACCAAACATGACAAAGGAGATATCATGAGAGGATTGAATTGGTTGCAGCTAAATGTTATTGGAAAATTGAAGACAAATAATCGTGGTTCTGAAAAGAAAAATGGACATCATCTCATGGAATCGAAGGCAAACATTGTGGAACATAAGCCAAAGTTCAACAATAAGAAAAGGAAGCATCCTAGAGAGAGCTCTAAGCAAGGTGTTAAAAGTGGTGGCAGTCAGAATTTTAATGGCAAAATGGGATATTGTGCCAAGGATTGTCACAAGAGCAGGACTCAAGGGAACTACAAGAAAAAAAACCTGCTCAAGCTAACTTAACTGAAGAAAAGAGTCTTTGTGCAATGGTTTCGCACCTGAATGTATCTGGTGTCGTGTCTAAAGTCAATTTAGTGGATAACCCCCAAAGCATGGTGGATGGACACAGGCTCTACTCGCCACATTTGTTCCAAGAAAAAAATGTTCTCATCATATCATGTAGCAGAAGATGGAGAATAACTCTACATGCGGAATTCTTCAACTTCCAAAGTTGAGGGACAAGGGAACGTGGTGCTAAAGATGATGTCAGGCAAAGAACTCACTCTCAAAGATGTGTTGTATTTACCAAATATTCAAAAGAACCTAGTTTCTGGATTGTTGCTGAGCAAGAATGGATTTAAATTAGTGTTTAAGTATGATAAGTTTGTACTTACCAAAAACGGAATGTATGTAGGAAATGGGTACATGAGTGATGGGCTCTTTAAACTTAATGTAATGACTGTTGTTCCAAAGTTTAATAAAATTAACACATCTTTTGCTTACTTGCTTGGGTCTTCTTGTGTGTGGCATGGAAGATAGGTCATGTAAATCATGATACTTTGTGAAGACTAATTTACCTAGATTATTTGTCTAAATTTCAAATTGATTCAAATCACAAATGTAAAGTGTGTGTTGAAGCAAAATTAACTAAAGCACCATTTCAATCAATTGAAAGGAAAACTGAGCCACTGGACTTAGTCCATAGTGATATTTGTGATTTGAAATTTGTTCAAACCCGGGGTGGCAAAAAATATTTTATTACTTTTATTGATGATAGCACTAGATATTGCTATGTACTTGCTACGAAGTAAGGATGAAGTCTTGGAAAAATTCATTCAATATAAGAATGAGGTTAAATTACAATTAGGCAGAAAAATCAAAGCGTTAAGAAGTGATAGAGGTGGTGAACATGATGCACCTTTTTGGTGACTTATGTTCACAACTCAGAATTGTGCATCAAACTACTGCGCCTTATACACCTCAGCAAAATGGAGTTGTTGAGAGGAAAAAGCAAACTTTAAAAGAAATGATGTATGTTATGTTAATAAGTTCGGGACTACCTTAGAACTTGTAGGGGGAAGCTGTTCTTTCTGCCAATTATATTTTGAATAAAATAGCTCACAAGAAAACCTTTCAAACACTTTATGAATTACGGAAAGGCCGAAAGCCTTATTTTAAATGTGTGGGGGTGTTTGACTAAGATAGCATTACTAGACCATAAAAAGGTCAAGATTGGTCCTAAAACAATTGATTGTGTATATATTGGATATGCAAACAACAGTAGCGCTTATCGATTTTTGTACATAAAAGTGACAACTCGAAGGTCCATGTTAATACAATTATTGAGTCAAGGAATGCTTCATTTTTCAAAAATATTTTTCCTTGCAAATCCGCTCAAGTGATTATTATTCCTAAACGGACTCAAGATATTGCATTTGACAATAGTCAAGAATTGGTTAAAGAAAACCAAGGAGGAGAGTTCAACGAACAACCTAGACGAAGTAAAAGGGCTAGAATTGAGAAACTTTTAGTCCTGACTTCTTAACATTTCTACTTGAGAAAGAGCCTCGAACTTTCAAAGAAGCAATGTCAACTCCGGAAGCTCTTTTATGGAAAGAAGCTATTAACAGTGAAATTGAATTCATTCTACAAAATCATACTTGGAAATTGGCGGATCTTTCACCAGGTTGTAAACCTCTTGGATATAAATGGATATTCAAAAGGAAAATGAAGCCGAATAGATTAATTGACAAATACAAAATAAGAATTGTGGTCAAGGGTTATAGGCAAACTAAATAAGTGGATTACTTTGATATCTATTCACCTGTAACAAGGATCACATTTATTAGAATGTTAATTGCAATTGTTGCTTTAAATAATCTAGAGATACATCAAATGGATGTAAAGACTACATTCTTGAATGGTGATCTGAATAAAAAAATTTACATGGAACAACAACCAGTAGGTTTTGTCATTCCAAGCAAAGAGAAGAAAGTGTGCAAATTAGTAAAATCATTGTATGGCTTGAAACAAACACCAAAACAGTGGCATGAAAAATTTGACAACGTGATGATGATAAATGAATTTAAAATCAATGAGTGTGACAAATGTGTTATGTCAAAAATACTGAGAAATATTATGTCATTGTTTGCCTATATGTAGATGATTTGCTAATTCTTGGTAACAATAGTGAAATGATCAATTCAACTAAGAAAATGTTGAAAACTAAGTTTCACATGAAATATATGGGAGTGGCAGATGTGATTTTAGGAATGAAAATTACTAAAACATTTGAAAGATATGTTTTGTCTCAAACTCATTATGTTAACAAAATTCTTGAGAAATTCAATAAGCATGATGATCGCCATGTAATGACACATGTCGATGCTAACCTTCATTTAATGAAAACTAAAGGTGAAAGCATATCACAATTGGAATACTCTCGTATAATTGGAAGTCTAATGTATCTCATGAGTTGCCCTCGTCCTAATATAGCGTATGCAATAAGTAAATTGAGTAGATACACTAGTAACCTAGGAAAAGACGATTGGACAACCATTGTTAGGGTTCTTAGATACCTAAAATACACCCGTGACTATGGACTGTATTATACTAGATATCCAGTAGTCCTAGAAGGGTATTGCGACGCTAATTGGATATATGACACTAAGGATTCTAAATCCACTAGTAGATATGTCTTTACCTTGGGAGGTGGAGCGGTCTCTTGAAAATCTTCTAAATAGACTTGTATAGGTCGATCCACAATGGAATCTAAATTTATTGCTTTAGACAAAGCAGAAGAAGAAGCAGAATGACTTCGTAATTTCTTAGAAGATAATCCAATATGGCTGAAAGTTGTGCCAATGATTTGTATTCATTGTGATAGTCAAACCGCAATGGCTAGGGCACAGAATCATATATATAATGGGAAGTCTCGTCACATTCGTCGTAGACATAACACTGTTAGGCAACTGTTCTCTAATGGAATAATTTCCATTGAGTTTATAAAGTCAAAAGAAAACATTAGCGAATCCGTTGACAAAGGCTTTGACCAGAGAGCAAGTGTTGCGATCATCGATGGGAATGGGATTAAAGCCTGTCACTTAAGAGTTATCTTAATGGAAACCCAACCTAATTGATTGGAGATCCCAAAATCTAAGTTCAAAGGAACAACTGAATTAAGAATAACTCATTAGTACCACTAAGGATTAAAACTTTTACACATTTCTATGATGAAATAGCGATTACCAGTAACAATAAATAAGTTAAGCTTTGCTTGTAATGAGACTCATAGCTTGGAAATTCATGTGGGTTATAGCATGATGCTTTTAATGAGAATCACCTATATGAATGTGAACTGGGTTGGTCTATGAAAATTGAAAAGGCTAAATTCTCTAGAGCACTCATGAATCTAGGAATTGTCCAGAGCCAAAATAGACACAACCGATAGAATCAAGTTGCGTATGAAAATAAAACTGTGTGATAGGCTATTGTCTCGATTTACACCAACGGCAGAGCAATTCAATACATCATGTTCACTGATCAGCCAGTAAATCTGATAGTCTTTTATAAAAGAAGGTTCAAGGTCAAAAGCTACCTATCCTATGCAGGATAGTTCCAGATTTGTATTCACATAGTTTGCATGTTGTTGCATTTCTTGTTACGTCAATTTCATTCATGTGGGGAATTGTTGAAAAATTTATAAAGGCAACGTTGTATTGAAATAAACTCCATTTTAATGAAAGGGTACAACCCTTCCTTTAAATAAAAGGATGCAATCCTTTCATGGTGTCTTTTTATTTTAAAGAAGGGTCATGTCACTTTTTCATGCCTTTTTTGTTCAAACTGAACAGGTACCAACAAGCCTATATAAAGGTAGCCCCCATTCCAATTTTTTTCATTCCAACTTCCTCAAGTTCAAGCATTCCTCTTGTATTCTTCATCTGCATGAGTCTGAATTTTTTGAGTGCAAAATATAATTTTGGTTCGCAGTACAATCAAAAAGTGTGCTCTCTTCGTTTGTGGTGATTGTTGTATCCTAGAGATAGTGCGTCCATTATTCTCAAGCACCATTGAAGAAGATGAAATTATGTCTTAAAGACACAGTGTTCATACACTAGTCTCAATCACAAATTTGTTCATAAACTATCTATAGAATTACTATAAGGTTTAATTTTGTTGTTTACTTTATTTTTTTTATTTGCTTTAATTGATTATTATCGAAATTATCTCCCACACATCTTTCCCGTCTCCATTTCTCTAGTGGTTTGTTGGCCTCCGCTGCTCGAACTAGATGGATACAATCCATATTCGTTAGTTAGTGCACTGTTCTCGTTGCTTCCATCCTCTCTGGTTCCCAAAACCATCTTCCTAAATTTTTTCATGTCCTCATTGTATTGGCTAGTGTCATAGTCTGAGATGCCACGAGAACTGTAGACTGTGTTGTGTCCGGGTTTGATTCCTTCGTTAAGATCAGACAAAGATACGTCTCCTTCGAAGGCCCGCACTACCTGCACAATTTGAGTTATGCTTATCGGTTAGGAGTTAGCTTACATATAGCACATCTAAGTTAAGAAGCAAGAATCTTGCATGCTACGGCCATTCTAACACATCAACATAAAAAAAATATAGGACATGACATATGGTGGACATGCACAAAATATATAATTTTATATATTTATTATATATCACATATATGAATATTTCATTCCAAAATAATAAAAAATACAACATAATATTAATTTCTTAATTTAAAAGGAGCAGGGACTAATACATATAAATTTATATTGTTTTTCTTATGTCATTGTCTCCTTTAAGTTATTTTGTTCAAATATATGTTTCATCATGTGTGTCCGATGCATGTCAGGAAGTGTCAAATGAGCATCAGCGTTGGACAAGAACACGTAACTTAGAAGTGTTCGTGCTTCTTAGGTAACACGACATGGGGCTCAAGTGTTATGGTGCAAGATACACCAACCTTGGGAAGCAGAATCAAATTATTCGAAATTTGTAGATCAGATCATTCATAGCTTTGTGTCTTAAAGGTCTCAACCAAGACAATGCATTAAATTCCAGGCCTGACTTCCACTTGCAAGTGACGTAAGTAGTATGGAATGGTATAATCTATAATTGAAGAACCATTCCACAATATCGAAATGCCATAATGGATTCATAACTTGTTGGCTCCATTGGGATCAACCAATTTGCATAAGATACAGGAATTTTTTAGTTTTACTATATTGCAAATAGTAAAATGTTTGGGACTCCCACAAAGGAGGACCCCCACGACCCCCACTGATGTATTGACCATTGATGTATTTGAATTTTTTTTTCCTAACTCTGACAGTGACATGAATGGTCCAGATCATTTTTGGGGTTGTGTTTTGTGGGGGTTTCTATCATGACTGTTGCAAAATAAACCCCAAATCTTACTTGGCTCATTTGTGGTCGACACCGTGCTGAATGACGCACACAAGCAGCAGCACAAGCAACCATACGAGCCATCTCGTTGGGTCTGTAATCCCTTTGCAACTGTGGATCAACAAGCGTATCAAAGTTCCATCTTCCAAAGCTTGTGTGAGCAAGGGCCGCGCCTACAACAAAGATAATTTTGTTAGACTTAGAAAAAAAAACCAAAAAATGTGAAAAGTAAATCAAACAAAATAAAAGCCTTTTATCAGAGTGGAAAGAGATTTAGTGGTTTTGATGTAATTGCTCACCCAGTCTACCAAGCTATCATCTACGTAAGATTGAGATGAGTTAACAGGTCGGCGTCCAGTAATTAACTCTAGAAGCACGACTCCGAATGAGAAAACATCAGACTTGTGTGTAAGTTTCCCAGAAGAAGCATATTCCGGAGCCAGGTATCTAGAAGTGGTGAGCTTATTATTAGAATGTGAATGATATTTTAGTAAGAACTAGTGTGGAAAACATTGTAATACCTTTGCCATTATCAAAATGGAATGTGAAATTGAATCTTGGAAATGAAAACAAAGCATCCATAATGAGATAACAATAACTGAATCAATTATTGACAGAAACAACTGAAAAGCTCCCATCACCCATGTTAATGTATATATGGTACATATTCCTACGTATATTAGGTATTGATTTCCTAGATATATTAGGTATTGTCATAGTTAGGTTTCTTGTAGGATACTTTTTCTCATAGTTAGATTTCTAATAGGATATTTTTTCTCTGCCTATATATACAGGACTTCTATTGTATAGGACAATATTATTCAATACAATTCATTCATTCAATGCGGTACATATTATTTCCTCTCTCTCTACTATTCTAACATCATATTAGAGCTAGGTTAAGAACTTAGTAATTTTGCTTCACTGGCGAGCGGCAGCCTCACCTTGGCCGCCTGTCGGACCTCAACCTATTCCGCTATCATGTTTTTCTTTTAGTATCACCTCGTAGTGATCTCTTCTTTTTTCCGCTAGTTTATCCCTGCCCCAAATATCTCAAATTGGTTTCTATCTTCAAACCTATTTGAGTTTGAAGGGGGGTGTTATACCTATATCATGGTGAACATGATTATACACCATGCAAACCACCCAGCTACCTCCTTCGGTATGACCTCTTTAAACTGTCTTGGCATTAGTTCCAACCAGTTCCTACAATGGTCTAACACAACCATAAACTGTCTCATGGCTTTAGTTCCGGCCTCTAATCTATTTCAAATGCCCTTGCGCTCCTGTTTAGATTTCGCTATCTATTTGCCTTTTATTTTATTTAGTTTTATTTCATGTGTTAGTTTCTCTCTCCAAACTCAAGATGTTTATCCTCCTTGAATTTGAGGGGGGATGTTAATGTATATATGATATATATTCCTACATATATTAGGTATTGATTTCCTAGATATATTAGGTATTGCCATAATTA